TTATTTAATTGGCATGTACTTTTGATTGGCATATATTTTGCTCAGTGTACTTATTACAACGAAACCGAAACCAAAATCCTTGAGGGTGTCACGCACTTATTCCCTTTTGGCGGCTCGCCGTTGAAATATTTTTGGTCAAAGTTTATCGCGACTTGCGCCAAGGCGAAAGTCAAAATCTTTTGTCAACTCGCGCCCCTAACCAGCCCAGCGTATGTCCTGCCCCAGCTACCCCCATGTAAAGGTGCAGCCGCAACCCTTTTGCTGCGGCAACTCCCCCGGGGGCTCTGTACGTGTGTTGAAGGCGGAGCGGAGCGGCTCTGTGCGGCTTGCTCTGTGGCCAGAATTTTGATGGAGTCTGGGTTCGGCTTTTCGCTGCCAAAGGATGTTGTGGCAAAATCTGCGTAAACTTTGCTTGCACGTCTGTATAGCGTACCGTATATTTACGTTCACTTATATGTATGACTATTTATATTTGCTTTTTGGGGGAATATATGTGTGCGTGCTTGGAGGGTTAAGTTTGGAGTTTACTTTATGTCTTATTTGCTTATGAAATAAGATATTCCAAGCTGGCGCGGCGTCTGCGGTTCAAGCTCATTCCCAGTCTCGGTCCCGGTCCGTGTCCCAGTCTCACTTCCAGTTCCCTTGCCACTTGGCACGATTTATGCATAGATATCGCCAGTCGAGATATTTTCAATTCGATTTTATTTTCTGTTTATGAGATTGCCTGACGTTTTTATGCACTTTTCTGGTTTATGGCCAAAAGGGTTGGCAAACGGTTGGTTGAACGGGAGACCATCAGCGGGTCTCAAATATTAACAATTTGTGGTAGTTTGGCTTTTCAATCGAATATGTTGTCATTTGAGGGATTCACTTTTCCATGTCAATTTCATCCTTGCGACTCATGTTAGAGCCCACAGAGGTTAAACAAAAATATTTATGTATTTTTCGCTGTATTTTTCAGCATATTTTATTAAATATTCTCACTTAAGAATGTTTAAGAACCCCTAAGAAAGTGTTTTACCCGGAACCCAACTTATTTGTATAGTTCCTTTGGTGCTGGCCCATTTAATTCTTGTTCGATTCAGCGTCATTTTTCACCGTGTGTCCAATGACTACGAAACCCATCTATACCAACATAAAACTCAATCAAGAGTAATTAAAACAATTCACAATTGATGCAGACTGTAAAACCGACACAATGGCCAATTGTTCAAATGGAACCATCAATAGTTGCTGACGAGTCTGGCGCGTGACAAACCCGTGTCCCCGACGCTGATCTTTGGTCCGTGATCCCTGTACGTAGCGTAGGTGCCCGGCTCAACTAATGAATTGGCACAAAGACAACACCTTGCAGGACTGGACTGGCTGACCGGCTGATGACTTTGACCGGATTTGGGTGTCAAAGCAGCCACCAATAAAAGTGGGTAACAAAGCGAAAAACTGGGAAAAAGACTCAAAAGTGGCGCGCTTCGAACTGGGAACATGAATTGACAGTTCCGAACCCTTCGCTGACCGCCTGCTGCTACTGTTGCCGTTGTAGTAGGTGTTTGGTCCCTCGCCCTGACGCCTAAAACTCTCTGAGGGGAATCTGACACACGCGCTGGGTCCGTGTGCATTGTCTGGCCCGTTACAAATTGTTGTGGGCGTTACAAATCCGCTTAGGACTCGACCTCGACTGGCTTTTCCTCACCACTCACACATATGCACATACACATAGACACACATACACACACACACGATTCCAATTTCTGAACTGGAGAGCATCGAATTTCATCTTCCGTTCGAATTTTTGAGCGTTAAATCGCCAAAATCATTCGTTAATTTTGACGTTTCTCTTTGTTGGGCGACCAATGCTACTGAGGGTGGACACTTGGTTGCTGACCAACGGTCAGCTGACCCCTGATCAGTGGCCCGCAGACGGCGTGTCACCACGTCAAGACAAACCCATGTGGGTGGATGTGCGTGTGCTGATTGCAATTGTCCATTGGTTGAGATTAAAAATTTATTTCGAAATTAGCGCAATTGTTGGCATTGCTCCCTTTTTTTCTTTTATACATTCGAGTTAAAACTGAAATAAAGAAAAAAGAAAACAATATAAAATACAAATAAAATTGATGCCCTTTGCCGTCAGTCTGTCCTGTCTATCTGTCCAATTTTGGTTGTGGATGCGCCGTTTCAAATGATTGAAAATATTTCTTGATTATTTTCTCCGAACTCGCGTGTCCATGATGCATTTCATAGACATTAAAAGAATGTTGTGTTTATATACTGGATTTAATGGCTTCGTTTTTAGTGCATTGTCGGGGTGCTTTTTGAGCCCAGTTAAGTAGTTGTTGGTGATCTGGCAGAAAATCTGGAACGGGATCGATAGGATTGAATATTTCAAAAAATGTCTATTAAAGGGTATTTAAAGTCACAATAATTTTGACCATTGCATCTATTTCTTTTAAATGGTTATACCCATAACCAAAAACTGCACGAATTGGATGTTTTACAATCATTATAAGGAGCTACTAGGAGCCTTTCCTGCGAATTCTCAGTCCACCTCATTTATTTTCAACGGACGACAAACAGTGTCTTTTATTTTTGGCTCGGACTAACCCTCTGATATACGCAACGTAGGTTCTAGTTTGGGAAACGCCACCGGACATATCAATCAGACGCTTAGAAATTGGATCGGACCGGGGGTCGAGCGGAGTGTGGGACTGTCCATTAAAGCCAAACAATGGCGTGGTAATGGCTACTTTAAAATGACACCATCCCGCTAGCGGTCGTAGGTTAATCGCTTGCCCGGCCACCGGAGCACCACCCGCTGATATCAGCTGGATTAGACTGAACCCGCCCTTGAAGCGCGTGATAAATGCAGTGGAAAAGCGACGGGTGGCCAACGTATAGAGTTGTCAATTCGCTGCAGTGAAGAGTTGTCAAAAAAGTTCAATTGTCGGTTTATTTCATGGCAGCTAAAAATACACATAAAAAAAAAAGCAACAAAATGCCACACGATTGGCAGCATCGAGTGTTTTATGATTCAATTAAGTTCAATAGAAAAGTCACTATAAAGTGTTGCATATTAATTTCAGACACACACATATTCAGGTGGTGCTTAAATTGTCAATTGATTTTTGCGGTTTTTAACAAAAATGTTGTACAAATTGTGCACATTTTTTGCCGTTCACTTTGCATCCATTGATGCTAATACAAGTGCCACGCCCTTTTCAACGCTATCTCTATACGCATGCATTGGTTGTGTCGTTGCTTTTGGTGTTGCTGTTGTTGTTGTTGTTGTTGTTGTTGTTCAGCAGCTCCTGCTGCTGACCAGGTGTATCTAGTTGTTGACTGTTTGTTTTGCATTAAACGGTTTGTTTTGCTAACCAAAGTGTTGATTTTATGGCCGACCGCTGTTTTTTGTGCCATGGAATCACAGTCAACCAGTCAAGTGTAATGGGATCATATAGTATTTAAAAGACACTATGCATATACCTGATAGGGGAGTACTTTACAAAATACCCAATCCGCGTCTAAAAGTTGTTCAAGCTCATCTTCACATTCAAAGAGTTATATACATATATGCATGCCTAAAAGCGGCAATACCCACTGCATGGGTATAAAGAGCACAATGTAGAGTAATAGCTGACTTACACAAAATGTTAATGTATCGAACAATAAAAAACTTCATTACACGGCACTAAAGCGATCGCAATGACGACAACTAAGACTAAAACCGAATAATATAAAAACTCTATTTAAATTCAAAAGCCAAAAACCACCAAAAATGGTGCGTGCTTATCGCCGGTGCCGCCTCTGAACCTGATGAGCTCGATAAAGCAGCTACAAAATAAATTAAAAATACATTTTTAAGGTAAATGTGGCACTTTAAAGGCAGCTTGAGAAAGGCACATAATAAATATAAAAACACTATTAAATAAGTGCATGGAAAACAAATTCGTAAAAAGAGACACAAACACACACAATAGACGGAAATAAAAACACAAATTAAAATAACACCAAGAAATTTCAAGTGCTCAACGTGAAAGGGCAACACGAGCACGATTCGGTTTCCACGTGTCGGTTAACGTGTCGAAAAATCGAAACAATCCAAACGAATCTTTATATTATATCAAACTGTATTGTGGAAAAATATGTTGTATAGAAAATACTGATAAATATTACTAAATACTTCATCGGTTTGGTAACGAGTTAAGCCCCTCTATTCTTTTGCATATCTGAGCAATGTAATTGCCGTGGACGTGACTGGCATTTGTCTGGGGCTGGGGACTCGTGGTGTGAGGCACGTTTTGCGGAAACAACTGGTAGGCAACGGTGTCCAAATATTTGGAGCACAACTGGAATGGTCTCATAATTGGAGCAGCCGCCGCCAGATAGTTGACTGAACCCGGCGCATGGCAAATGGCGTCGACATAAATTTTCACCAAACTACTGGAACGCTAAATAAAAAAACCGAAATCCAGGGAAATGCAATGTACGTTCGATGAAAAATGCGTTCGGTTTACCATTAATCCACAACCATGATCCAGAGCGACAGATCATTACACACGCGCGCGCACCAGCCCCAAAAAAAAAGTCTATGTAAATTTATTAATAAAAATTTACCCAAAAAATAGAAAAAACAAAAGTGGATGTTGAGCGATGCACGGTATACGTGTCTGTACATCCAACACCCCATTCCATTCCAATTCCATTCTAGTTGCATATGCCCCGGGAAGTGGCACTCACAGTTGTTGCTTCTCCGTAAATTATAGCAGCGCTGCCAACTAATAGTAGCATCATAATTTATACATGCATATACAAATACATTGCTTGCGTAATTTATGCCCCTGCAAACCCTGCCCACCCTTGAAACATGCGATCCACGCTGACAAGAGGTCACAACACCCGTCAAATCGTAGGTTAATAGCCGTCTGACCCGACCATATGCAGATCAGCATTTAAATATCGATTACGATCGGCTGCCTCGTGCGAAATAGATTACTGCAATAGTATGCTTTCGTTAATTTTTTCATTTAATATAAATTTAACATGAGAATTAGTCAGAAATTTCGGCTTCAGAATAAGGATGAGCAAAATACGTGAATGCAGAGTGGCTGTGCGCAATCTTTTACCAGCTGGTATAACCGCTATTGGCGCCTTGACCCATGCCACCGCCAGCATGGCCGAGTCCTGCAAGGCGGACAGCACATGAATATTATGCAAGTATATTTTTGATTATGCTTTGGCTTACCATTGCGGTTCATTCCGGCGGCATAGGCGCCGTAATTACCGCTCATGGCACTCATAGCCATCTGACCCATTCCGCCACCTTCAGATTTGGGTAAATTTGCGTAACGCATCATTGACTGATTGTATGCCTCATAGGCAGCTGGTGGAGTCGAATTGGAGGCCATACCCTGCTGGTAGTTTGAGTGCGGGTTGGCTTGATTTGAGTGTAGCCACTGCTGTCCGCCACCCTGTCCGCTACTATAGCCGCCCTGACTCATCTGACTCACCTATATATCAATTACACATCAATAACAAGAATATATATAAGTAGTATATGGAGATAGCCACAATCCTACACAAGTACCTGTGGATTATAGCCAGACATGCCTTGGCCGCCTTGGCCGCTAGCGCCTCCCATGCCTCCCATGTAGTTCCAATTGAATTCTGCACCACTGTTGCCGTAATCCATCACGCTTTTTACAAACCCAAAAGATAAATTTTACAAAATTTGTATTTTTTTAAAAAATGATTTTGTAATTTTCTAAAACCAGATGTTTCTTACTAGAAAGTTTGAAGTCGAATGAGATTAATAATTTTGCCAAAACAACAACTCACAAAATTGTGACAAATTGACATCGTATGCACCGGTTGCTTGATTTTTTATTTTATAAAATATTCTTTAGATGTATTCCAATCTTTTATCAAACAATTAATCAGCTGAGAAACAATTATTTATTCAGTTTAATTCGTATGCTGCTTTCTATAAAGTTCGAAATTCTTATATTATAATCTTAAAAAATATTTTCATATTTTCCACCTGTGGGTTCCGTGTGGCACACAGCTGTCCGTTCCAGTTGCCTATAAAACAGGTTTTTGGCAATGGCCACATTCTGAGTGCTTAGAACAATTGGTAGAATACGGACCATCGTGAAGTCCCACTCCAAAAACACAAAAGCAATGTCCTGCTAGGAATGAGTGCATACCCGAAGAAAAGAAATGACCTCATAAATCGTTTCGTTATGATCTTCATAAATATATAATTGCTTCATATTCATAAAGATAATCACACTGCTTAAGGGACAATACTGTGTTGTCCTTGAATATTATGTGGACAATCTACCTGTTCCATAGATAGTTTGCCAGTTTTTTATGATCGACCATGTTTGAACAGATCTGCTTAGCTAATGACTTATGGAAGCGATGATGATGGAAATTTACTTGCCGCTTTTTAGGCAGCTATTTATTTACCATAAAATGAGCACATAAATACCTAAATGTATTTGTATATGTATAAACATATATCTATGTCTTAAAAAGCGGAAAAACATTTTCAATGTGGTTCGGCCGTAAAATTGTTTTTTCACCTGTTCAGAGCATTTTTTATGTACAGTTAAACACCATGTCGAGGAGCAGATAATTTCATAAATTTTGTTGTCGTGCCACGTGCCACTTCAGTGTCACTGTCAGAGGCGGAAAACTCGCCCCTCACATGAAAAATTTGTTCTCGCCTATCTGTTATATTTTTTTATATTTTTAGTTCTATTTCCGTTCACTGAACCGCTTTTTATCCCAGTCGCACGCAGCGAGAATTATGAATATCGAGAATAAATGTGGCGATAGAGTCTGAAAAAGAAAGCCCATTCAAATTGCTGACAATTAACACCTAACAGTTGCCCACAAACAATGCATATTTGTCTGGCACACCAATTGGCCCGGGGGCGTCGTAATGTTTTCCCAAAAACATTTGATTTATCAACTCTTTTTAAATTCCAAACATGGAACCATCTTTCACAGCACAAGCGCTACAACTCACGTGTCATCAAAGTCATCCGCATTAAGCCCAGCAACCGAATAGATACACTCGAAACGATTTAACTCTTTAACCCCGCCCACAATCGTTTTGACCCCAAACCCGAACTGAATGCAGTCGTGTTAAGCTGAGACATGCGCGGGCCTATTAAAAAATTGTTTATGAAAACAAACATTTTCAAACCGATTTATCATCGACGTTGGATGGCGCGTGGGGGGAATCCCATTGCCTCTCCAAATTCCCCCACCCCAAAAACTCGCTGCTAATGTTGATGATGATCTCCATGGCCCAGTGGCAGCCAACATCACATGGCAGCCAACGATTAGGCGGAGTGCCTTCCATTTTCACTGGGAAACATGTTAAGGGCTCTGCAGGGGGAAAGTGTTAAATGCCTGCCAATTAGTGCCGTCTGTTCGATGCTCCATAAAGATCGTTCCCCTAATTGGCTTAAATATGAATTGCTATTCAATTTAATCAGCTTAATAAATCGCTATCGTAATGTGGGAGGAGGACCTTGTTTGAACTTTAAATTGTTAGCCTCAAAAGCCTATTCGCGTGAGTCTATTTATAATTTGAGCTTAAATATTTGGAATTTATTATACATCGAACCCATTGAAAATTATTGATTCTATATATTCTTAGTCAGCATCAATAGCCGAGTCGATTGAAGCATGACCGTCTGTTGATGCGTTGATCGCAGAATATATGAGCTAGAGACTTTTTTGAATGCGCTATTCGAGTTTGTTTCATCATCGATAACTTGTCCCGTTCTAAGCAATCGATAAATATCGATAACGAGGTCCTTTATTTGAGCCGAAATTCCAAGCTAGAGGAGTTTCGGCTTAAACCCTGTGTGCATTCCTGTTTTAAATTGCATCAAACTGTATCTTCAAATTAATTAAAGATATACTATTTAGTTTTCCATTATTTATTACAATTTATAAATTTGGTGTGGGGTAGTATATTTATCTCCCAGAGTAGGGTATATATATGAAAGTGACCATTTTAATGACATTTCTAAATTATTGAAAAATGTCATTTTCATTTGACGTTAATGGCACGCGACAAGTATGCCTGTGGAAAAATCATTTGAGCGTGGATGTGGTGCCATTAGCGCGGGGCTTTAAAGCGGATGTGGCAGAACCCACTCATAGCAGTCACATTAGGTAGTGCTTGGGAATAGGCGAACATCTTGCGTTGGAAACGCACTGCTGGTGGGCGGCACGCTGCCCGATGTCCTGGGTCGTAGACATTCGGGTCATCTGTCAATGTGGCAAAATACTGCCAAAGGCTATTGTCTGGGTCTCATAGCAATAACTGCTGTGTTGAAATAAATGTGTAATATTTCAATTTTTGAATGTGCACAGGACGACAAGATGCTGGCCGGCTGGCCGATTGTGCAGGGGGAAGGGAGAAAGAGATGTCAGAAATGCGAACATGACACAATTTAAACTGCTGACCTTTGTCCAGTGCCATCCCCCGTTTTATTAGTTGGGGTGCCGCAGAGGTCCAAGGTCTCTCCACCTAGCCACCTCGGGCATTGTCCTGTATTGTCCTGCATGCTCGGTTTATTGTTATTGTTATTATTTGAGAGAGTTCCCTGCAACTGTCAAACGGAACTATTTGGCTTTATGTTCTCACTGCCGCTGCCTTTGGGTGCATTTCTATGGTCGTTGGGGGGAGGGATGAACGCCGGCACGCGCCGCTGGCAGCGTGGCCGCCTTTGCTTTGGGCTAATGATCAGGCCCGACCCAACAGAAGCCTTTTCAAGTGCCTCTTAAAACGGTGCCAGTAAGTCCGAAAATGACACCCGCACCATACAGAAACCTTAACAGAGATAGGCACATGGACACACCAAACAGTCATCCCCCGGATTAATGGAATCGGGTATCATATGTGAATGTGATGCAAAGAATGCCCCGTTCATGTTGTTGTTGATGGGTCATGACACCCAGCCAAAAACCAATAAATGTCATCAAATTTATTGCTTCTGATTCAAAAATTCTTTTGTTTGTTTCGGTTTTACAATCAAAATCTATAGCGCATAGATACAGGACACAGCCCTCAGGCTGATTTTGCGAATTATATTTGACAGGAACTTTAAAGTAATAGAAAAGTAGCTAACTGAGTCATCTATAAAACTTTATGTTTTAGCTCTTTTCTGTGATATAGGCTTGTTGTGAAAGCGATAACATAATGGATCCCATGGGCAAGATCGCAACTGAGCTATTTACCAAAGCTCAACAATTGTTTTGTCAGCCCTATATTAATTATAAAAAAATGCGTGTCATATCTGAGGCACACACTGACATTCCACTGTTGAACGAATCAACATTTATCGCATGTTCCTGAAGCCCGTCTTACATAAATATCTCGTGTAAGGGACACGTATCCTGCGGGCAAGTCAGCGTCGTCGGTCCCTTTCCAGATGCCATACCTTCAACTGTCAACGCATCGTCAATTCTATTTTTATGTTTTATTTTCATTTATGTTCTTTTCTGTTTGGGCTGTTGTGGAAAATGTTTTGCTTGGCTTCCGCTTCGCTTCGTTTCATTTCTTCGGTTTTGTTTAATATTCGAGTGTAATATTTCAGTTTTTTTTTGTGTCGATCTTATTGTTGTTGTCGAGGAGCGTCTGCTGTTTTGTTTGTGTTGACAATTTGTAGGTTTTTTGTGTGGTACCGCTAAATAGCTACAAATTTATGAGCGTAAATAGCATCGTAAATCAATTTTTAATGCATTTCCATTAATTCTTTCTTGACAATGTCAACATCAAATTGATGGCACCATCATCTTTGGGGGCGACCTTTCAATTGAGGTTAGTTGTGCATTTAGAAGGTGGGCTTTCAAATAGAATCTACTGTTTTATATTTAAAGCTTAATTTTGAAATGAATTGCAATAAAATTGCAGTAAAAAAATATAAAATAGTGCTCTAGTAGGGTCCCACAATATGTAATGCTTATATATGCAAAGTTAGGTGTAAGCGTTATAAACAAATGCAAGTATACACACACACACACACCCACACAGACTTTTTTCATGCACATGTGTGTATGTGTGTGTGTCGCATTTGTCGCATGTTTGGTTGCAGCTTTGAGGGCAAATCCAATTTAATACGCTTAAGTTCTTACTTTTTTTCTTTGTATTATTTGAAAAAAACACATGACGAAGAAGTAGGAAAATTGCACAGTATAATGAAATGCCCCGCCCATTGTTCGATATGCGCGCAGTAAGAGCGTCGGCTCAATTTAATATTATTGATTTTTAATTTTCCTTTTTCAGCGTTTTGTTTTTGCAGACTTTGAAAATTGGATGTGTTCTATGGTTTAATGTGCATTAAGAACCCCTATATCGTTCGGTCTACTCTCTCTCTCTCTTTCACCCTTTTCATCTCTCTCTCTCAAGAACAACAAATACAGATAAAGCTTGTAATTTAATCGTATTTGTATCGACGCCTTTGTGCTTTTTCATTTGTCGTTAGCTCATTTCAGCGTGTTTTTTTAATCCCCTTTTATATAGAATTTAATGCAAGGCATAGAAAAATAGTTATACAGAGTACACATCGATGTGTGTATCCATTTATATGGAGCACTTCCTCCCAAAACCCACATATATATGCGAAGCCCCAAAGATGCAACCCGAGGCGGTTAATTTACATACATTCGTTTTCGTTGTTATCGATATTGTTGCGGTTGTTGACAATATTTTTTTTTTGCTGTTGCTGTATTTAAGCTTTGTTTTTATAGTTTGTTGGCAATATCAAATAAATGCAT